CAAATTTAAGGTTACAAGAAAACCTCGACGATGAAAATAGTAATATTTCTTCTCTTTCGATAAAAAAAGTCAACACTCTTAAACTTATGTAGATGAAGATCCCAGTCTCAGATAGCACGAGTTCTTAAAATCACTGTCGTTCGTTGAGGCCTTTGAATATTGTGTGCCTGAAATAACACAACATATCTACTTAGAAAGATATCAGTGATGCTACTATCTGTTAGTGATGATGCAAAATTATGTTCCCAAAAAATTACCCTTGAATAGGATGAGTTTTGTGGAAAGTTAGTTTTAATGTGCTATACTCTTATTATGAGTTTAATAAGCAGGAATGATAACTTCAAACATGTTTTGGAAAAAGTAAAATATCGCTTTTCAAAAACTTCAGTAAACTCATAAGCACAATGGTCTTTCTTATCACTCCTCAATTTCCTTCACCTTTGTATTTTTAAGGACTTTTTAATAGAAAGATAGCCGTAAATTTAACATTAATGATTGGTTTTATTAAAAATTTAATACTCCATATGCATTTACATATATACATAAACACATTCTGAGATTTGCGGCCATAATTGTAAGCTTTGAGAAAGTATAACCATGTACGAGGATTCTTTTTCGATGGTTATTCGCTAAAACTAAAACTACTTTGCAAAACGCATTAAGCGCAGTAATGGGTTTTCATTAGGTCCTTTTGCTTACTATGGCCCATCACTTTATGCCCTTTCGCTCAAACACTCACTGTATGTTTGTATGTGTGTGCGTCAGTTGGCGTACAGTTGTCGAAAATTGTTCGTAAAAAGCAAAATAAGAAACCCAAAAAAGAAGTGCTCTTTACTTAAATTCGTTTCATAAATGCCGTAATGGGCAATGTAATATGTAGCGAAGCGGAGTACTAGTATTAAAGTATTTAAAATGTTTGGGCAAAATAAATATGTGTATGCATGGATTTCGATACATAATAATAAACTATTGGTCAACAAACAAAACAAAAATAGTTTATTTGCAATAGTGGCTGAAGTATAGAAAGTTATAAATAAATAGTTCGAAGCAGTACATACTACTCCCACTTCTTCTTATTGATTGGGGCTTTAAGCAGTATTCACAACATTCTCAACAGTATTTAGGTTTCTTGTCATAATTTTCTCGGTTTTTTTAAAAATGTATCTAAAACTGCCTCAACTAAAACACCTATGTCTCTGTGAAAATTCATGGATACTAGACCGTTGAGTCTCTTTTGACCTGTTGCTTGTCTGATGTTAGCTACTCCACATCTCAACCTTCACGAGGAGTTGAAATCATTGTTTTTTAATAGTTAATAACTTTTTCATAACGAATTGTCTTGAATACTAGATAATTAAGTAATGAGAGATCTATTTACCATTAAAAAATAACATAAAATCAGCTGATTGAATTGAATTTAAATTAAATTTTGGAGTTTTAAAAGAAACTTTAAAATTTGTTATTAATTTTGTGAAAAATATTCGTGGCAGCGATAACTTCCTCCGTCTTAAAAGGTACACTGTTCATGCCACCAATCCATGCAATCAATACATTGTATCCATTCCTCGGAGGATCTGCGTATTGCTCCCTGTGCGAATGCTTACGCTTGCCCCAGACAAAGATTTTTGATAGATACTCATGTAACTTAACTCACATTAAACATAACCTTTAAGCATGTAAAGAATAGTAAACTTAAATAAATCACGATAATACAAAAATATAATTTACCTTGGAAATTTACTTATTTTTACTTTAATTTTTAATCTTGAAAATAAATTAAGTATCTGTTATATTGTAGTACGTTTCAGTTCCCTACAACTGTGTCACAAATTAATGTAGAAAAGTGTAATTGGGTTCAGGGAATCGAAGTATGAATGCGCATCTGAAGTTTAAAACTATTTAAGTAATGGATGGCTTAGCCCTCTAATAAATGGAATGTACATATGTATCTCACAAACCACAAAAGTGGTAGTACCTCCTCATACAGTGCGATCGGATGATAATCATATATAATGGTTATGTCCAAAACTACTAAAACTGCGGTAACGCACTAAAAGTTGTAAATACATATAACACATTTTTAAATTCTATATAGTTCATTCCCTTTACAAAATAAAAGCCAAGCCCAACCGAAGTTATCGGACTCACCTTGTCATTTCAATGGATAAAATCGGAAAATACTTTCCCTAGCCCCCAAATACCTAATATAAGGGCTTTTGAACTTCTGATTAATTTTATATCGCATATACGAGTATAGGTCAATATGCGAGAGTCTCTTCAGAAAGCAATCTTTTATGATAATGATACTTCGAAATGAGATAAATTAATAAAATTGGATTCATATTACCTGTAGTCTGCAAGTGACAAATATGAGAAACTTAAGGTTGGCCTTATGACGTAGATATAAAGTAGAAGTAGACATATAATGCTTGAAATACTTAAATATGTGAAATGAAAATCTGCAAAACAAAACATAGTAGCATTGATAATAGCGGTTATACCACTTTAATGGCGTATCTGCACAATCTCTTGAATGAATTCAACTCGACCACAAAGTTGCTTTTATATGAAGCAGAATGGCTTATCGCAGGCTGTCAATATACGTTACTATGATACCAAATAAGACATTAAACAATTTCAAGGCATTGATCAGCGCAAATTTCGAGAGTATGTTATAAAATGTTCGGCAGGCGAATTTTGCCACTTAGTGTGGGAGTGGATTGTGGATCCTATTGCAAAGTCAATATTTGGGCTTAACTATATGCTCGAATGTTAATTTTGAGCCTCCGCATATTTTTATACTCTCGCAACCTGTTGCTACAGAGTATAATAGTTTTGTTCACCTAACGGTTGTTTGTATCACCTAAAACTAATCGAGTTAAATATAGGGTTATATATATATAAATGATCAGGATGAAGAGACGAGTTGAAATCCGGGTGACTGTCTGTCCGTCCGTCCGTCCGTCCGTCCGTGCAAGCTCTAACTTGAGTAAAAATTGAGATATCTTTATGAAACTTGGTAGACATGTTTCTTGGTACCGTGAGACGGTTGGTATTGCAGATGGGCGTAATCGGACCACTGCCACGCCCACAAAACGCCATTAATCAAAAACAAATAAATTGCCATAACTAAGCTCCGCAATAAGATACCAGACTGTTATTTGGTACACAGGATCACATTAGGGAGGGACATCTGCAGTTAAAACTTTTTTTTAAAAAGTAGGTGTGGTCCCGCCTCTAATAGGTTTAATGTGCATATCTCCTAAACCCCTAATGCTATAATAACAAAATTCACTAGAAGCAAATGTTTTTAGCACTTCTATTGACGGTGTGAAAATAGTTGAAATCGGGTGGCAACTCCGCCCACTTCCCATATAACGGTACTGTTAAAAACTACTAAAAGCGCGATAAATCAAGCACTAAACACGCCAGAGACATTAAATTTTATCTCTAGGATGGTATGAGATGACTTTATAGGAACCACCTCCAAAATTAGTCAGTGGGCGTGGCACAGCCCACTTTTAGGTGAAAACTCATATCTTGAGATCTGCTTAACCAATTTCAACGAAATTCGGCTAAACGTTATTTTCATATTTCTATATTATAGTGCGAAAATGGGCGAAATCGGACTACAACTACGCCTATTTCCCATATAACACCATTTTCAATTCCATCTGATTCTTTCACTTCCAATTATGCATATCAAGCAACAATGATTATATCGGGGTAAAACTTTGCGTGAATAATACGTTTAAAGTATGCCACCTTGTGACCAAAAATTGTCTAAGCCGAACCGAAACTGTTCAAGCCCCTAAGTACTAAATATGTGGACCCCAGTGCCTATAGTTGACTTTCTACCGAAAATATCAGTCAATCCACAAAGAAATCTCAAACGAGTGTACCATTTGACTTTGCGAGAGTATAAAATGTTCGGTTACATCCGAACTTAGCCCTTCCTTACTTGTTATTTATATGTTTAGATGTACGAGTACGTAACAAATTATGATGAGGGTAATTAATTTTTCTTTAAACACGCTTTAATTTTTTACAATGCCAATAATTTATATTTTCTTAACGTAACGATTTTCAAATCCAAACAAAAAATGCTTTTCCAGTGCAGTATTCACTTCCATTCCCATCATCAAATGTGTACGCCAACATAAGCTCCTACATACGAGTACATACAAATATAAGTAAGGCCGACTATTTCCCACAGTCGCATCAGTGTAATTTCGATTTCGTATTTTTTATTCTGTTAGAGCCATTTAATGTCTGTAGCTCTACAATATTCCCTATTAGAGGGATTTATTACAATTTCATTGTGCGCAGATGTGCATTTACATGCTGAAATAAATACCTATGTATGTATGTACATTTGTATGCGTAATAAAATGGACATAGGTACATAAATACATAATTCTGTATATACATATATTCAAACATATATATGCATATTTGTAAATTTTTTGCTTTTATGCACATACATACACCGATAATTTTAAAACTACATTTTTATTTGTAAAGTTGGGCTTTTAATGCCTGTGAATTTGGACCCTCATTATCTGCTGACCACCAAGCAGCTTTCACTAGAGGAATAACTAAAGTCCATCATATACCGCACTAAAAAATAAAGACTTGAAACAAAAAAAATCCAAGGTTTAAACTGTCGAATGAGACGATCTTATTTGTACATCGGAGAATAATAATGAAGTAGCTAAAATGTCACATGCACGTTTATATTTATGTAAGTTTGAGTATTTGAACGCAATTCTTAGTGCGGTCAACACCCGCACCATTTACTTAGCGTATTATATCTAAACTCACTAATGTTGTTGCAATGTTATGGGATTTAAGTTTGTTTGATTTTTATGCGCCACACAGACACAAAATCAAGTCTTCCCATATCACCTTACATATACATATGTATGTACATATATACTATATGAACGTATTAAAGTCAGCTTCATCACTGCAGCCGCTTTGAAACAGAATTCACTTACTTATATAGCAGTTGTTGTTGGCATTGATGCTGGTTTTAACGAGGACTAATTCATCGCGCAGTTGAGTTTTTTCAGTCCTTTGGTTGCGTTTGTGTGTGAAATAAATTTTGATTGGTTGAAATTTCTGGCAAACACTGGCTGAAGGAGTAAAAGAGAAAATTATAGAGAGAAAGAGGAAAATGGAGTGCTCAGTTTACGCACGACACAATTTGATGCCTGTACAGTACGAAAGGAAATGAATCACATGCGTGTAACGAGTACAGTGGCCTTGAAACTGTGCCGCAGATAAATTCGTGAAAGCTATAGATATTTGAAAGGACAACCTACATATTAACAGAGTAACCTATGTATTGCACATACATATGTAAATATATGCGGTTTGCAAAAGATACACCGGAATAAGTTAATAATATTTGAATTTAGTTTGTCAGACAATTTATAAGGTATTTACCTATGGCTTACATTTTTTTGGTTTCATTGCGAATTTATGCATAATTAATTTATATAAAAAATCGTTATTACTAAAACATTAATATATTTAGCATATATTCACTAAATTATTATATAATATACAGCCTTGATTCCACACATTGTTATGTTTTCACCGCGAAGTCCATGGCAACGATATCTGTCAAATTAATAAGAATAATAAATAATAAGTATTTCAGTATTAAAATAGATAAAACAAAAAATTTAATTTTTTTCGAAGCGTTTTTCAAGTGAAAATACCATCAAATAAGATATTACAATTTCACATAATTTAAAAGTGTAACATACATATGTACATATTTGCAGACATGTATTTACAAATACTCTTCTTTGGATTTACCATTGCCGATATTTCATTTATACCTTTTCAAAACCATATACATATGATAGATTGCTAATAATTAAAATTTAAAAAGGCATATTTATGGCATTCCATTGGACGTTTCCGCCTTGCTGCAGTGATGTAAATAGATAAATATGTATGTACGTATGTATGTACGTATGTATAAGCACATAAAGGTAAGTGTAGGCAATTTGAATTTGCAAAGTTGGCGCGCAAATCGACATTCAACGACACCTTGCCAATAAAGTGCACAAATCTTCAGCGAAACTACCAGACTGTAAAGTAAACATTAATACACAAATATGTCCTCAAATACATACATATGTACCGTTTCATACGCTATGGTGTCAGGATAGTGAAATGTTTATTTGCAGCATACGCTCAAGGGAAGTGTGTCAGACGCATAGTGATTATCCTTTTTACCAACGAATGTTCCGGACACCAATAAACTCGAAGGCTTGTCTTCTGTAGCGATTTTAAAACATTCGTCTTCCTGTGGCTCCTGGTTCACGCACACTATGCGAAAACTGATCTGGAAGCACTGGTGCCAATGTTATTTAATATTTCAGCAAAATAACACAACAATGCTAGAACATACATCAGACACAGAAAATGGTGGACGTACATCATTAGCAGCGACAGCGACTCAACCTCAGAACAGCAATTTCTCATTGGGTCGAAGATGCCAACAACCAGCCAAGAATTGTTATTATTGTAAACTATTCGAGAAACCGACAAAATAGCAAAAACTTACCTCTAACGAAGTTAAACCAGTTAAAAAGAGACAATACTATGATGTGCGGCATAATGAGGAGCTGTCGCGAGTAGTCGTCGTCGAGAGGCACTCGTGAACAGAAGGGATGAGTGCACGACAGAATTCACAGTGGCAAGGCTCACAGAGCAGCGACAAAAACTATTGCTTTCCCTCTTTCGCAGCCATTTCACTTGAACACATGTATGTATGCATGTATATTAGTGTTGGTGTGCGATGACATATTCGTTCAGAGCAATGATGTTTCATTATTTTTCACATTATTATTAGTATGGCTAACGATTCGTGGTCTTGCAAAAACTACCAAACATATGAGCTTATTCAAATGTATATGTATGCACATATTCATTTACAGTATATATAATATACACTGCTGGTACTTGCCAAACCAATCGCCACCATCACCACCACCAACGCCGTTCTGTTAACGACGGCAACGAAATCACCAACAAGAACAACACAAGCTCAAGCAGTTCGAGATTTTACACCGACGTCGGCGTTGATGAGCTACCACCCACCACCACGGGATGGCGTGGAAAGAACTGCGAAGCCTTCGAAACGGACAGCAAGCACATGATCCTTAATTTCGTTATAATTTTGTGTGCTGCCTGGAATCGTATATCATTTTAAGTTTGATCGGCCGCGAATACGCGCGTACCACCGAACCGAGACATTGAGGTCGTACTCTTCGCGACAGCACGGTAACTCATATGGATGGAACAGTTAGCAGCAGAGTGAATAATTCGAAGGACACATTTGCATACATTTTCTGGCTGTAGTGCGGCACAGCGCAGTAGATTGCGATAGAGTTAAACGCATCCGAAATTACATTATTGTTATTACCCCCTCTCAAGAAGAGGAAATCGAATTTTCATTATTTGTAAACATTAGAAATTGGTTGTGTCTGCATCAGCCATCAACACGACGTACAGTGAACAGTTAGTTAAACACTCGCGTTGAATAGTAGTCGGGCGCCATTGACATATCTACATATACGGTGAGATTTTGGCATTAAATTGACGCGATTAAAAAGTTTATCGGGCCCAACATTCGCTCTTTCTCTCTCTTTCGGCATGACGGGCGTATAAAAGAAACGATGGATAAAGTTCACCCGTCGACAGGCGGTTCGTAACGGTACACACTAAACCAGCCAGTACTATAATCGGTCTTCTGAGTACTGTAGTCTGGCGGTGCTGTGGCTAGAAAAACAGTTTGCAGCTGGAATAGTGACTACATGTGTATGTGCCTCCCTGTGTTGGGGTTAGTGATTATTTCAACTATTCGCCAGTCGTTTACCTACTCAGTATAGACATCGAGACGCCAGTGCCGGTTACGCGTCGGTCAATCGGCGGACCAAATAAAAAGCAGCAAAAAAATCTAATATATGCGTACACACACTTATAGATATCTACCCAGATACCTTAATAATTGTAATTGATTTTGAAATTAATTAATTGATTTTGCCGCAAAATTCGTGAAGTGCGCCGAATTCGTGAAGTGTCGTCGACAGTGCTATGCTGCAAGTGGCTAATATTTTATCCTGTGGTTGTGCTTTTTGATCAAACTTATTTATGCGCGAGTGAATCCAAAGCTCTATTGTTACTTCAAAGGATTAAACTTATTCCCAACTTTGTGTGTATTGTTGTGAAGGTTTGCTCATAGGCATACTACTTTCTCGTATCAATACCGTTTTTCGCTGAGTGGTATAATTGATTTTTTCAAGACGTATATTGATTCGCGCTTTTACACCGGCCACAAGTTGGATTTCAAACAACACAGTTGTGCCGGCGGCCCTGTGTCCGGTGGTGGCGTCGTCGGCAATACCATCTCGAATTCCCTTCAGGTGCATCACGTACATCAGCCTCATTTGTCTAGTAGTAATCCGCCTGCCCATTTACCACCGCATCATTCTCTTTTGCATCCACATCACGCCGGTACGGCTGCCGTATCGCACGCAGCCGCCCAAGCTCACGCCGTCGGCTTATCACATAGCGGTTTACCGCCTATAGGACAGCAGCAGCAGCAATCAGTTTCAGTAGCACCGACCGCCCAACAACAGTCATCACACCAGCATCAACAACAATCGGCGCAGGCACAAACCCAACAGTTGCATACACCAACTTCCGTCGGTTGTGCGACCAGTAACGGCAGCGCCACCTCTGGTAGTGGCAGTAGTGCCGTCGGCTCGAATTCCGTATCGTCGTTGGTAATTGGCAGCGGACCCGGTTCGGGTGGTAATAACGTTCATCCGATCTCGTCGGTGGCCACATCTGTTTCAACGGCTTCTTCCATACCTCACATCGTTCCACCCAGCCTAGGACTGAGCCCTCAGTCGAGTGCGGACTCCCAACAGTTTAACATATTTCCGGCTATATTTAGTCGGCAACTCAATTTCACTGCTGGTACTTGCGGTCAAAGCAAACTTTCAATGGATGAACTGCGTCCGAATTTGGTTGGCGGTTTGTTGGGCTTGCAACAAGGCTTATTAGATGATCATGCGGCGAATATGCAGCATGCTGGGGTATCCCAAGATACGAAATTCATGTCATTTCAAGATAATCGCCTAATGGGCATTACTTCCTCGCATGAGAACCGCCTACTCGGTCTAACATCATCGATGCAAGATACCCGTTCGCCAATCACATCCATCGACAAGGGCTCGCTTAATCACCAACGCAAATGCAGTAGTACACCCGAAGATTTCAGCTCACTGTACTCTGGCTTGCCCACACCTGGCATGGACACGTCTTCACACCATCACACACCCGCGCACACGCCACCAACGCGACTCTCTGACCATTCGATATCCGGTAATTGTTTTATTGCGTGGATCTTGCTCTCAGAAGAATGCATGAATGACTGACAAAGGGACATGTGTGAATGTGAAAAGAGTTGTAGAGACTGCGAGTGGTCACTTTAATCCTTTCTTTCAATTTGTTGCACATTTCGATGTTCGCTTGTCGCAGCGTTCACACATTCCCCTCTCTTTGTAGTGGATTATTTTAAATCCCCGGATTGAGCAGAAGCCAATAGCTCCTGCGCGTATGTGCACGAATGTATGTATGTGTTTGCATGTTTAACACAGCGCGTTTGTTTGTTTGGGCTGCCAGCCACTGAGTGCGTTGTTGTAACTGTGCACACGTGTCGGAGATTATCACGCATTTCTGGTGACTGTTAAGCTAAGTACCGCAATTATCTTCTCAAATGCGAGAAACAATTGAACTATTTGCTCCGATGAAATTTTATACTTCAATGTTTGTTTATATAAAGGAAACAAACGATTATAAAAGTGAACAAACATCCTCCCATCCATATAAAAATGGATGGTCAATTGAAGAGGACGAGTTTGAATACAAGTAATTTAGAATTTTATTTTGCTTTTGCTAAATATTACGCATCAACTTTTTTATTAAGTGATAGAAAAGAAGTGTTTAAATTCCATGTCACATTTGGAATTAGACTTCCGACTGGAGCGCGTTCTTTAAAAAATTATTATTTTACATTTTGCTTTAACCGTGATTTGAAATGTATACAAAATTAGAGTTATTTTGTTCTGTTAAATTTTATAGAGAATGAAAAAATGTCCAATTTTTTTGATTTCTTAGGTTTATGAATTTATATGCTTAGGGCATATGTATGCTATAACATAGTATGCACAAACTAGTAGTAGTAGTAGTATAATATTATAATAAACTATTCAATACAATGAAAATATTATTTACGAATAAAGGCGAAAACGTTATTGTCAGTACAAGAATCCAAAGGATTGTACTTGAGGTTTAATTTTGAAAATAATTGATACAAATATTTTTCAAAAGAAAAAATATCGAATTCTCCATTGGGCATTTGAGACAAATTCGTAAATATTTTTTTTTTTAAACTTGAACATATGTTTATGTTTATAATTTTTTTGTTGAGGAATTGTTTTTTCTTTTAACATGAGTGAAACTCACACCATCCTATCTTATAGGTTGGATCAAACTGGACACAGTGTGATAAATTTTACTAATATGGGTTCAGTAGTTTAGGAGTTTACTAAACCGAACTAAACGGACACGTAATTTTTATATCAAAGTATTAAAAACTTTGTTCAAAAGTTTTAAGCATAGTTTTTCTCATTTCTGTTTGACTTTCCGGTGAAAATATTTATTCGTTTGATTACTGAATATATAAAATAACAAACACATTTGGAGAGTGGATATATAATTTTGATCAATCCGTCCAGAAATCGAGTGACTCCTTCGGTGAGAATATATGTAGATTGGCTCCAAGTCGATGGGGCTGATATTGCTCGCTCGATGACCCTGGTATTGAATTTTAAAACAAAACTAATCCAAGAAAATAACAAGATACATAGGTTATATTATTATTGTAGCAGAGCTGAATGTGGGATGTTGAAACAAAAGCCTACTTAATTCAAGTAATTTTCGGGTAATATTGGTCTAAATCGGAGTATGTTAGTGAAGAGCCGAACACCTTTCTCCAGCACCGAATTTATGACATTTCGCACAATATTTTCGAATATCGTATGATGTTTTCGTAAGAAAATAATTTAATTAGTCAAAGCAAAGTTTGGGTTTTGAATTTTCACGTTAAAATATCAAATGGAACTTATTGGTTGACTGTTTAAATTTGAAGTAATAAAAAATAATAAAATTTATTCAGAGTACTCATTAATTTGTATTAAAAATGTTTTAAGACTTGCTTTTCGAGACATTTCGAGCAAATTTCAAAAAACAAAATTTTTTAATTTTTGTCAGATACATTCCAATTAAAAGTTTATTTAATAAGTATTCTTTAATTTTCAATAACTATGCACCCCACCGATAGTAATTATTCAACAGTTCAATTATGACTATTTAAATTAATTTGCATTGGGAATCGGATTCAATACGCCAAATAAGTGAAAAGGGAGGACCGGTTATGTTATATAATATATAGATAGATATAAATAATATTTATAATATATATATCTAAGAAGTGAAGATATTCTTGGAAACGGACAATTTTTGAAATTTCAGCGAATAAATTTTAGAGAAGAAATGTTCCAAGAAGAATTTATAAAATTGTTCTTAATGTGGAATGTCGGTGACTTTTGTCCATGTGTATTTGTATATGCTGTTACACTAGGTGTGCACTTAATTTCCTATGTTAGTTTTATCTAGCCAAATTTGTTAAGAAGTTAAATTTGTTGGACAATTCTGGCCAGTGTAATATTTTTCGCCAAATCCTTTAAAAGTAGAGTAAAAGGAAAATAGTAGTAAAAGGAAGCTATATCCTTTAAAATATAGAGTTTTACATTTAATATGGTTTAATGGCACGGTTTTTTATTTACTGGTGGGTATTTATTTGATTTTTTTAATTTTTACCTTTTGATTACTGTTAGATTTTGCTTTTGTATACAAGTCTTTCCTTTGCCAAAGTTCTAATCGTCACTTTTGCAAATTTACATTTAATGTATGATTTTAAATCTCATAAAAACCACGTAAAATTAGATGAAACTATGATTACTTTGAACCAAATAGGTATCTCAAGAAAAATATTATATTTAAAACAAGTAAGGAAGTTCTAAATTCGGGTGTAACCAAACATTTTACACTCACGTAACTTGCAAAGATCAAAGCCCGGGTAATTACTTCAGGTGTTGGCAAAATTTTATATTTAAAGAAGTATTGATCCGATCCAACCCGTTTTTGACACAAAGACATACTATTATCGAGAGTTTCATTTATTTTTATACTCTCGCAACCTGTTGCTACAGAGTATAATAGTTTTGTTCACCTAACGTCCGTGCAAGCTCTAACTTGAGTAAAAATTGAGATATCTTTATGAAACTTGGTAGACATGTTTCTTGGTACCGTGGGACGGTTGGTATTGCAGATGGGCGTAATCGGACCACTGCCACGCCCACAAAACGCCATTAATCAAAAACAAATAACTTGCCATAACTAAGCTCCGCAATAACATACAAGACTGTTATTTGGTACACAGGATCACATTAGGGAGGGGCATATGCAGTTAAAACTGTTTTTTAAAAAGTGGGCGTGGTCCCGCCTCTAATAGGTTTAATGTGCATATCTCCTAAACCGCTAATGCTATAATAACAAAATTCACTAGAAGCAAATGTTTTAGCACTTCTATTGACGGTATGAAAATAGTTGAAATCGGGTGGCAACTCCGCCCACTTCCCATATAACGGTACTGTTGAAAACTACTAAAAGCGCCATAAATCAAGCACTAAGCACGCCAGATACATTAAATTTTATCTCTGGGATCGTATGAGATGATTTTCTAGGAACCGCATTTAAAATTAGTCAGTGGGCGTGGCACAGCCCACTTTTAGGTGAAAACCCATATCTTGAGATCTGCTCAACCGATTTCAACCAAATTCGGTGCATAACGTTCTTTTCATGTTTCTATGTCATAGTGCGAAAATGGGCGAAAACGGGCTTACTTCCCATGTAACACCATTTTCAATTCCATCTGATTCTTTCACTTTCCACTATACAAATCAGGTAACAATGATTATATCGGGCTAAACCTTTGCGTGAATAATGCGTTTAAAATATGCCTACTTGTGACAAAAGGTTGTCTAAGTCGCACCAAAACTGTTCAAACCCCTAAGTACTAAATATGTGGACCCCAGTGCCTATAGTTGACCTTCTATCGAAAATATCAGTCAATCCACAAAGAAATCTCAAACGAGTATACCATTTGACTTTGCGAGAGTATAAAATGTTCGGTTACATCCGAACTTAGCCCTTCCTTAATTGTTTTATATGAATTTCTATTATATATCTTACACATTGACCGATATTTTCACGGTGCCACGCCCTGAGGCAACAGGTTGGGAGAGTATAAAAATTAGTATATGGTGTGAATGTGTGTGGTATCTTAACTTTAGGCTTGGTCTCAAAATTAATGAAATAGTTATAAAACTTCTAGTTTCAGACGGCGCGTTTTTGTATTCTAGCAACATGTTGCACAGGTTAACCTAAAAATGTTCGAAAGGAAGGCGATGTTTGTCCGTCTGTTTGTTAAGCAAGTGATAACTAATTAAAAATGTATGAAATTTTCCGCACGAAAGACCATGGTAAAATCCGCCTATGTTATGTTTAGTAATTTAAGCTATAAATCGTATTTGGTATTAGAAGTTACAACGGAGTGGAGCTGCAAAACTATCGATAGTAGAACCATTCGATAGTTTAAAAAAATGCTATCGATAGTTTTACCCTTTAAAATCTACTTACTTTTTACTGGTTTAAATTACGAGACACCTTGGCTTTGTACTCTTCAATAACGGAAAACACAAAAACATTAATAAAGTTACATATAAATTTTCTCATGTTATTATATAAACCGCCCTGAGAGCTAACGAGTTATAAAAAGGCGCTTTTTTGATATATTTACTAATGTAATATGAGGTCAAGAAATTTATACTTAAAATACGTTTCTGTAAACTACTTTATTCATCAATGACCACTTGTTTTTGTTTAAAAAAAGTAATTTGTTGGCGTTTGTAGTCTTTAATTTCTCTCTGTTCTCCTATCTAATACTAGTAATCCGGCCTGGCTAAACATTCGTTTATATGCACTGTAGGCAGTTTATTGCCTCTGAGTGTATGTGTGAGTATGTATGTACAAGTATATACATTGTGAAATTCGATCACAACAGAAAATTCAATAATACTTATGATATGAATTATATTCTCTAAAATGAAGGTTTCTTGGCATTTTATATTTTTCCACGGTTCTTAATTCTTATTAAAATACTGGAAAACCGTGGCGTCAAAAATTCTGAACTGCGGCTGCATTTATGAATAACTGAGGTTAGGTGCAGCTGGAATTTTAGAATATTAGAAATTATTACCTAATTATAAATATTTTCGCAACATTCGCAACAAACTATCGATAGAGGGACGAAAATAAAAATATCGATTTTATCGATAGTCCCATCGATTGTTTTGCAGTTCTACGATGGAGCATAAGTGATTAAAAATGAAAAAAGGGATCTAAAATTTTTTCTTAGAATTTGCGAGAATATTTTAAGTTCCGTTCCATACGAACATTCATTTTCATAATTTTTTGATAAAATTCATATTATTTTCAAGGGGGTGAAAAGTATGGGTTGTTATTTTTATTTTATTACGGAGGTATCCTGTCCTTTACTCATAGTTTCTAAATTAGTTTTCTGTAATTCCGCTAATATATTTCACTGCTACTACTCTTTGCGCAGACGGTCTTTCACATGGACTCCAAATTAAGTGATTGTCGAATTTGTCGCTCTTTACTTGCTTGGCAAGAGCTGACTGACTGACATTCATGTAAATACGCAAATTACTTAGGATGAGTTTTAACTTGATGAAATTTCACCTCGATTAATATAAAATTTGCATAAATTATCCCAATGCTGCATATTCATACGACCGTTAGGCCGCTCGGTTGGACGCACCTGTGCTTTACATTTTACGTTTTCTACTTCATCTTCGCCATGCGGGATTATTGTTGTATATGAATGTTTTTGTTGTTGATCTTTTCAACGTCACCAACCCTCC